GCAACCTTCCGATTACAAGGCGAACTCCCAACTCTCGAGCCACGATCGCAGACATAATAATAAATAGAGCTTCCACCCACTGTCTTGCTTTTGGCTGGTATAATTTGAAAATTTAAGTGCTATTCTGAAAAAAACAACAACTGTATATATATATATATCTCCTGTGTACCTACACACTGCTCCCCAGGCGCCCAATGGCTGCCCCTGCTTCACAGAGTGAATGGGTTAAATGCAGAGAGGGGATCAATAAAGTACACTTTCTTCTTTCTTCTTTCTTCTTCTTTATTTTGCCTGTTTGTATCTGGTAGTCCCACTGGATCTTTGCTCGCTTAAGAATTGTTGTTTCGCCTTCAATCTGGATTCCATTTATAATATCCACAAAGCAGAACTAAAAAGTACTATATTTGTATGTTTTCTGTATATTAATGAATGGAATAAATGTAATCTGAAGTATTAGTCAGTTTGTTCATGCCGTCACAGCAATGTAGTGGATGGCATAGTTAGAACTTAAACAGAAAATACTTGTCAGATTAATCATAATCATGCATAATATCAATCGGCGATAAAAATATAATCCAGTTTGTCGAAATATCAAAAAGCTTAATCTCCAAATGAATCACTCATTCTTCTTTTTTAACTGCCTGAGCTTTTTTAAATCACATAAGAAACTCTAACATGACCGTGAGTGACCTCTGGGTGCTGATGTCACTGTTCAGGTCAGTTATTTTATTGCCCCTTATTGGAAACAGACAGACTCTGAAACAATCATCCACAAAGAACAATATAAAAACAGTAAAACCAACGCACAACAACCACAAACATGTTAAATCACTAATACACCAAGTCATTAGACACAGTAAAGCTCGCCGCCTGCAGCAGGAGCAAGCAGAGAGCCTGTTTAGTGTAAACACTGCTGACTTTGTTTTTGCTTTGCACTTTATTTTATTTATTTATTTATTTTTTTTACGGTCGTCTGCTTTTGATTCACTCTGAAGCGTGTTGTTTCTGCTCCGTGTGTCTTCATGTGCTGGATTAGCAAAGCCAACAGGAAGTGTCTGATCACCTTCATCAACGAGAGATTTCATTTTTTGATTTTCCATCAAATCTGCTAGAAACACGCTTTGACTTGCTGATTATTGAATGTAAACTGATGGAAAAATTCTCAGTCTTTCCATGTAAAGTTACATTTAAATAAACACAAAGTTACGAATACTTTAGGGGTCACTGAAGGTCACGGAGGCCCAGAAAGTCCCACAGGTTTAATGGGACTTATCACCCAAACTCCACAGTGAGATGTCAGCAGTGCTAACAGAGGCCTCAGCCTGTCACAGAGCATCATATGCTATCATCAGACAATAATACACCATACTCCCACCCTGGCCCCCACCCACTCAGAGCCTCCTGCTGGCTGCTTGCTGAGGGCCGAAATTGTGCAACGCAGGAGGCTTCTGGTTTTCCGGAGCCAGAAAAAAAGGCTAAGAGAGGAAAAAGGAGATAAAGAGAGGGCGGTTGGTGGTCTGAGGCCGGCCAAAGATGCCTTACCTCCCTCCACCACCTTGAATGTGTGTGTGTCTGTTTGTGTGTGTGTGAGGGGTCCAGGCAATAACAGTACGGATGAACGTCATGAAACATCAGAAACCACAGCAAACCCACACTTTTTTTATAGATGTTCACAGAGGCATCCGTTAGCCGTTAGTGCTGGTTACACACACACACACACACACACACACACACACACACACACACACACACACACACACACGCACACACACAGTAAACGGCTGGGGAGTGAACACCTGCAGCAGATGTTGACATCTTGTTCTCTCAGCAGCCAGAAAACACTCAGAGAGTGGACTGCCACACTCAGAGGTCCTTCAGGACATGAAGTCTGAGTTTGTCCTGAAGGTGGCGACAGAGGGAGAGGTCACCAGGTCACCACAGTTGGTAGGTTACACAGGCTGTGCGTATTGTG